GGAGTAAGTCACACGTAATGTTTTTGATCCAAAGCCGGGATCACTTTGCCTGCTCCTACACGAGTTTATTGCCCTGGCGGAGGTTTTTGTGCACAAGGCTGCTTTTTATGCTGGATACCGCAGCGTTCGCTGACCTCGCCACAAGCCTCGTTTTGCTCGTTCAAACGTTGGGGAGACTGGACAATACTTAACCAGAGATAAAACGCTCACAAGATTATTTTTTTTATGCTAATGTTTTACCAAATTGTTTCAGAACAAACTCATGATGAGAATGAAATCCCATTGTCCTGGAGCTTGGAGTCACAGTCTCTGAAGGCGCTGCTCTCCAGAGTCCTAACCACTACTCCACTGTGTCAGTGCTTCCTAAATAACTCAAGTTATTGGAGCATTTATAACAGCCATGGGGTAACTAGCTTAAGAAAGTTAAACTGCAGAGTCTTAAATCCTCAATGAAGTCTAATCAATAAGAGCTTTTAAGTGTTATAACCAAATGGTCACCTTGCTGGCCTGTGACGGACTGACGACCCATCCAGGGAGTATCCTGCCTTGTGTCCGTTGCTTGGCGGGACAGACTCCCGCTCCTCCAGGACCCTGTATTGGATAAAGCAGTTATATACTGGACAGATGGTTGAATGGTCATCTTGACACATAGCTGTTCTGCAGTGTCCCCCACTCTCCAGTATAACAGAACACCGAAGAGGCTGATGGATAAATGTTGCATGTAAAATGGTTTAGTTCTTCGTTCACGGAGAATTGAAGTTCAGTTGTATAGAAATGGATATATATGAACAATATAGCCTTTGCTTACTTGTAAAATAATTCCTCCTTTGTTTTACATGATCCAGTTCAGAGTTCTTCGTTTTTTTTTATGAATAAAGCTGCCAATAACAAAACTGTTTTATCTGAAGTGATGTATGAAGCATTAAAATATTCTGCTTTTGGGTTTGCCTGGCTATAATACTGGACTACACTGTATAGAAGTGCACAGTGCGGTACGGTGTAATGGAAATGTCTTCGTGTAAGCTTGGCAGTGGCAACTAGTTTCTTTATGGTTTATCAGCTATAACACGGTCTCATGATCCATAACTTAGACTCAATAATAAAGTCCAATTAAGGCTGTTGTAAACACCATGCAAACAAAAAGTACTCCAGTTAAAAAACTGTCTTAATGAAAACATTTATTTTAAAAGGTAGAATTGTACAGGTTGCCACATAGCAGACAACACTGCAGGCTGTGTACAGTTATTTATACAGGGCTGTGTATAACTGCAGCAGCTGTGACACTCCTATAAACAGCTACTCTGATGGGTTAATCTTCAAAGTTATTTAGACAGCTTCAGAAGTTATTTCTCAGTAAAGCACTGATGCATAACGCGTTTCTTTGCAGAACTAAGTAAAACACAAGAATGGCAGCAATTTCATAGCAGGATCATAGTTAACGGATCCTCATAAACACTGAAAAGGTGGAATCTTCATCCCCATTGCAGAATCATAAGATAAGATCACTTTATTGGCCTAATGCAATTTCTCATATTAGGAATTT